CTCCCACTCTTTAAACTGGAGAAATCATCTGGCAACGTTGTCAGTGATTGTTAAATTATGCCAACTGGTGTGACATCTGTTCATGAAACAGTTGCTGACATTTCCTTAAATGTGAGTCCATTATATTAATTTGCAAGCTTAGTAAGTTTCCAAAGCTACAATAATCTCAGTGGGTAGATCTGAGTTCATCGTTTGATTGGCAGGTCAAAGATTATTAAAGGATGAACTATTTTTGATGTATTGATAGACGTTTGCTATTATAAGAGGTTAGGCACTTGATAATTAAAAGGTTTGCTGCAGTGTTCCAGCGAAGTTCAGTGCAAGCTGGAAGAACAACACCAGATTTTCCACTTGGGAACCCTGTAGCCCTCCAGACTCATTATCGAGTTCAACAACTTTAGGGCCTGAACTCTCCCATGTCCTAGCCCCCAACCCCACCTTCCACACTTTGTTATTACATAGCCTGCCAATACACACTACCTATTGTTAGCCACTAACTGTCTCCATTAACAGCTATTTGCCCTCCTAGCCAGATCGTTATCAACTCCTTTGCCTGTCCAAACTGTTCTTCTCTTTCTTTGGGCTCTATCCCCACCTGTCATTTACTCCTTACCCCTTCCCCACACCCTAACGTCTGCATATACACTGACATTTTCCCAGCTACCAACAGTTCTGAAAGAGGACCCGAAACATTAACTCTGATTTTTCTTCACAGATGCTGCCAGACCTGCTGAGCTTTTCCAGCAATCTCTATTTTTTGTTTCCAATTAAAAGGTTTGAACAGGCTCCACGAATGGAAGTTACTTTGCTATCGATTGTATCGTGGGAGAACTGTGTTAAATTTCTAGAAGTTTGTTTCATTTGATTTCCACATCGCTGCTGAGGACGGCTAATGGTGAACACTGAGTGAGTTGGTATGGAGGGTAGGAGGAAATGTTGACATTGAGATGAGATGATGTGAAGGGAATGCAATGGGCATGGGAAGGGATGTGGGCTGAAGACTGAATGCAATAGGGAATATTTGCTTGTATTACAACTGCAATAAAGCCCAAAAAAAACCCCAACCTGGGACTAGCCAGGTTCACTTGTCTCCCTGCCTGACTCTGAGGTGAACTCTATCTTGCAACAGTGAAAATTGTGAGTGACCGGGAGCTTAGAATGGAGGCAAGGGTTCACAATGAACCAATGACTTGCTTTTGGGCAGAAGGCATGTAATTAAAATGAATGCAAGATTTATTAGTTTTAAAAAGGAAGTACAGAAACAGGGAGAGCTGGAAGCAAGAGCTAAATCATTGGATGACAGGTGAGATTAAATGACCAAAAGTAGTGATGCTACAAGGTAAAAGTGAGTGGCAATGAGACAAACAAAGAAACTAGAGCAGACACCAGAGGAGATGTAAATAGCGAAGCAGAGCAATCCCAGTAGCTGTTGCCTATTGAAATAGTAGCTGTGCTTTATGTTGGAACCAGAAGATTGTAAAATCCTAATTAAAAAATGAGGTGCTGCTCCTTGAGTCTCGGTGCAATAATGTCGAAGGATGATGACAAGGAGCTCCTCACAAAATGTCCTAATATGAATGTGGAATGTACACGCGAAGGGCCAGTCTCTAGTACACTGCTTTCAGATTACATCCCTGGATCATACTTTGGCACAATACACAGTTTCTCCATTGCCCAAAGATGCTTTAAAAAACTAAAACACGGTTTGGACTAACCCTTCCCGGGCTGCGACAATCAGATTGAACCCGGCTAAAAACAGCAACTGTATGTAACTGACACAAAGACTGTACCATTTTGGTTTTCGATTATTCCAACAAGGACTGTTTTAAAAGCAAGGATTTTCAAACGAATTCCTCCACTTTTCGAAAGGAGTTACTGAAACTCATTGTGTGTGATGTTTGCGCTGCTGATTGGGTGAGGGTAATGGTGGAGGTGAGGGATGGTATGGGGAAGGGGTGAGAGACCCATGTGAGCAGCAGAGAGGAAAGTTGTTGAACAGGGTTTAGCTTCCCATTAGGCATTTTAGACAGGATCCAGGCCTACAAGATTGGGCAGTTAGACCATGCACACTATTTCAGAATGTTTTAAAGGCATTAGCAGCTGATTGTTCACTGTTGCTGTATCAGAGCACAAGATTTTAGCTGCTGACCCCATGCGGGGTTATGACCAGCAATTTGGGAAGTCCTGCTTTAATGTATAATAATGTTCTGAGGCCTCTTTATTGAAGGAATTATCAAACAAAAAATGACACAAGGAGCTAACAGGACAGGTTTTAAGGGCTGTCATAAAGGAGGAGAGAGAACGAGAGAGAGAGAGAGGTGTAAAGAAGAAATTCAAGGGTTTAGGATCCTGGCAGCTAAAGAATGCCAATGATGGAATGTTGAAAATCAGGAATGTGCAAAAAGCAAGAATTGAAGAAGCGTGGAGATCTCAACAGGTTGTAAGCTTGGTAAATGGCACAGAGATAGGAGGATGTTAAAAACACAGCTGAAAATTTTAAGTGACTCCTTGTCTCTTTTGCAGTGGGTAAGTTAATTGAGAGTAAAATTAACCTGGCTCCAATAAGGAGCAGATTTCAATCCTAAATTCCAAAAGAAAGTTGTAAATTTGTTTTGAAGAAAAACACTTCTCTAAAATAAATATGCTATTCTACAAATAAAGCAATAACTAATGAGATTTTTAAAAAAGCAAAAATGATAAATTATAATACAGTGGTCAATGTTCACCTGCCCTGGGCACCTGATCTTGTGTGCCACTAGCAACAACCAGATGTAACATTGCAAAAGAGGTAGTCAGAACTGCCGATGCTGGAGCCAGAGATAACACAGTGTAGAGCTGGATGAACACAGCAGGCCAGGCAGCATCAGAGGAGCAGGAAAGTTGACATTTCGGGTCGGGACCCTTCTTCAAAATTAGTTTAAATTGGGTCCACATGGAATCTTACAGTGCACAGGAGGCCACTGGGCCATCATGCATGTGCTAGCTCTTTGAAACACCTATCAATTCATCCTACTCCATTTCAAGTATTTATCCAATTTCCTTTTGCAAGTTTCTCTTGAATCTGGTGCCATCATCCTTTCCGGAAGGGCAAAACAACTTCATGTGTCAAAATTGTTTCCCTATGTTTCTGCTGCTGGTTGTGCCAATTATCTTATATTGCTGTTGTCTTTTACTGATCATTCCTCCATATTCTCCATATTAATCCCTTGACATAAAGTGGATCACATAAACAAGATCAAAGTGGATGAAAGTAAGGAGTTTGAAAATGAGATTATTTCAATGACAGGAAGAAAACAAACTGCACTCTTGCAAAATTGGATACTTCTCAGGTGCCAGAGTACAATGTGACATTCTGAAGCCAATTTTTATTTCTTCAATAAAAGCCACTTTTAATAGTTTTTGAAAGGTGCAAACTACAGGTGAGTGTTGTATTCAAATATCTGGAGCCAACTGAACTTTTTATACTTGCTTTACACTGGTTGTTTTGAAATACCAACATTGCTGGATATCAATAAATAATTATTTAGATCAAACATCAGAACCTGCAAAATTCATTAAGATGAATAAAGGGCTCCCACTTGCTAATTAACAGTGGGGAGGTTGTTGCAAACAGCTGCTCTCCATACATATTTTATATTACAGTTAGAAAAAGCAACAATACCTTCATTTTAATTATGTAAAAGCAAACATTTCAAGATAAATCTACATGACTGTCTGCAATTAGTGTAGAGAGTGCAACACTTAACAAGATGTTAGCGTGCATCAGTGTCAAATATAGACAGCAAAATTAAACTTTGAGAATTACATGCTTGTTTACACTTCATTTCAACTCAATTGGACCAATCTTGCCTTTGGCTGTTTAAATATTTGCTTCTGAGCTGCTTTAGTTTAGGCTGTATATGTGTTAACAGGTACTGTAATGCTCCTCCTGTATGGCTGCACAGTGCACTTCTAGTAAGCAATGAAAATAATTTTCTTTTTCAACTGTAAATGAGCAAAAGATTCAGTTGCTATGACTTTGACAGCTAAGGAGGAAGGAATGTGGGTAATATTTAGGTTTACTACTGTCATTACTATCGAATTAGCAAAACCTATCCGTGCTTTTAAATTTGACAAACCTGGAACCGTTCATTGGATCTACTTGTGACCTGTAATTTGTATATTTCTGAAGGTGCTCCTGGGTACATGTCTTTGATGGGAGCACAACTCTGAATAGCAGGGAGCACATAGCTTTGATCTTCAACTTTCATGCTGAAATTGTAGGTTTATTGAGAAGGCCAGCTATTATTGCCCTTCCCCAATTGCCCTTGAGAGGGTGGCAGGAAAGACCCTTCTTGAACCACTGTATGTACCCCCACAGTGCTGTTAGGGATGGAGCTCCAGAATATTGATCCATGTATTTACTGATGATAAATGATCATACAGAAAACTTTTTATTAACCAGCACCTATCAGACCAGGAGTGTGCCAATTGATCAAATATTCAGGATAATCAAGAGGTCCACACGTTCAATGTAAAAACATGCACTAAGTAATAGAAATATAATGCAAGGAGTATACACATCACTGGTTTACTTTATTTACAGCATGAAGCACTTAAATAATAATGCAAATTGGTCTTAAATAAAACTTCACAGCAGAGAGCCTTCTCACTCACACCCTCAACTGACTACTTGGACATTGCGGAGAAATTAACTCGAAATTGAATCAATTGTTGATATTTCGTGTGACCGTTCGATTGAACAAATATATTTACATTGAGGGTAAATAAATTGTAAAAAAAGCTACAATAGTTAGACAAAATAATGCAGTAAATGTCACTGTATTTGAGGGATATAATTTTTGCCAGTTTATCAAGAGTGCTTGTTTATTAGGTGCTGGTTAAAATAAAGTCTGCTTTAGTTTCAAGTGAGCATTGATGGTGTATGATGTGCAGGGAAACTTGAAACTGTTGGCTTTCCCTTATCTTTCTAGATGATACAAGTCATGGATTTGGGAAATGCTATGAGACAGCAGTACCTGGACAATTAACCTTCTGGCCAGCCAATCCATGAGAGCTTCCTATAGAGTAATTCCAAATTTTTGCACGAATTTTAAATTGGTAAGTTTGTTTTCAAGACCAATTTAGTGAATTATGCAGTTGCTCACTCAGGAGTTCTTCCATGCTACAATGGAAACATTGTCAAGGCCCTCTTTCTTGTAGATAAAAGAACATGCGTTTTCATAACACCTTTCACAATCTCAGGATGCTTTAAAGTATTTTACAGCCATTAAAGTGTAGGCAGTAAATATGCACATAGCAAGCTCTCATAAACACAACAAAATATTGACCAAATAATGCAATTTAGATGTTGAGTAAAGGATAAATGTTGATCAGAACATTTTCTTCAGATAGTCCGTAGGATCTTTTACCTTCTACTAAGATGCCATATGGAACCTTGGTTTAGTAGCAGAAAGACAGTGCCTCTGACAGTGCAGCACTCCCTCTGCATGTTATGGGAAGTATCAGACTTTTATTAAGTTTCTAGATTGGGCTTGAATCCACAACTTTCTCACTCTTAAAGTGAGAGTGCGCCCTATTGCAATATGGTTGATGCCCCAATCGTGGTGATGCAAATGGGATCAAGGGGGAGAGAGGTAAACTCTAAACAAATTTCTTCACAATTTATCAATAGATGAAATCAATAATTGAAGAAAATGGTGGGCTATTGGTGACTAAAGGAATATCAAACACATGGGTACATGGAATCAGGTTTGCGGATTATATGGTGCACGTACAAAAATATCTTGACCCCTTTTTTCTATTCGTGATTTCTCCCTCTCTGCCATTTATCCAGTATGAGGAGAGTAACTCATGTCACATGCAGCCGACTCCCTTCCTTTTTCAAGACCAGGTATATTTCCGACCCAGTGCTCTGTACACCATCAAGCTGACTATATTCCAATGATTAGCTGTGAATTTCTTATTAAATTTGATTTTTTTGATTAAGTTTCGTATTTGACTTGAGGAAGCATTGATTTGCTCACAGCTGATTTTATTCAACATTTGGATCTGAGATTACAGAAGAAAGTAAAAGCCTGTTAACTAGGAGACTGACTGAAACCACTAGGCGTTACAACTTCCAACCACTAGGCTGCATGGATCAGATAATCCTTTTCTTGAAATTACTTTTTTACACAAGCAAATACAGCTGATTTTAAAAAGACTTGAAGTCATGATCGAAGAACTGCTGTATGTTTCTGCTCTGCCCCTAGGAGGTTTTGCCTTTCTGGTAAAGAAGGTTGAGGATGGCAGCGCTGGGCACAGAAAGTTTCAGGAGTGGCACACCAGTCCAAACGCCAGAAGGAAATGTGGTGATGAATTTCAGTTTTGATGGCTACCCATTGGAGGAGGAAGAGCCTCAGACTAAAGAGAGACAGAGACAGGGCAGTACAGGCACGTCCAAAGTCAATGAACCAGGTTATACCTGTTTTGTGTGTGAGAGTGACTGTGAATGTACAGGTATATTGTTTTCATTCATACTTGGGATGTGAATGTTCAATTCAATTCTGTTGTCTGTTCAGAAATTCAATGTCGTATCATTTAAAATTGCACACAAACGAATAATTCACAATTGTTTTAAAAAAAGCACATCATGAACAATGAGCAAAGTAAAAATCCCACATTGCCATGGTGTAGGGAGGGCCATCCTATCTGTAGGTGCACAGCTAAGTTCCTCCTCTTTGTGAGAGGGATGGGAGAGGGGGTTACAAAGACAAAAGCCAAGCAGCTGAGTTCTTTCCTGGCAGGCAATGTTCATGAAGCTGATAATCCTAGATTACTCAAACTGTATGCTCAAAGTCATCCAGTGCCATCTGTATTACATGTCTTGCTGTCAGCTACATACCACCCTTATTTCAGCATCAGCCCCAAACAGAGATGAGGCCAGCATTTCTTGTCCAAACCTAATACAAATGGTGGTGAGCCCCATTCTTACTTCCCTGAAGGACATTAATGCACCTAATATAATGTTGTCTGATATTTTATGGCCTCCTACTTGTTCAAGCTGATTGCCAAGGCCTAGCCTTTTTGCACCAGACTATTACTTCCTATCACTGTTTTCCCCAGTTTGTAGTTTTATCTCAAATCGCTTCTATTGATCAACATATTAATCTCTTCTATGGTGAAGCTCCCTTTTTCTTTTGTACTGCCTTCCACTATGTTGAAAATTCAATGCCTTAAAAGTTTTAAAATGTTAACGATCGATAAAACTCAGTGTGTGTGAATCTTTGCAATGTCCTTGGTTCTGAAATTCATCCGTATTCAAAATGATGACAATGTTGAAGATAACCTAAAGCAATTTCAGACATTCCTGCTTTTCTGTGTTTAATAGAGATAAAATAATGAAAGAAAACATGCTGACATTCTTGAAAGCTTCTGGCATTGTTAAGCACTATGAAAACTGAATTCCAATGTTGGTCACCCTCTGTTCGATTCCACCTCCTGAGCCTAGTTACTGACCCAGAAAGTCCCCTAGCTAAACATAAATCAGGGATTGATCAATCCCAGGTCCTTGTAATCTAGGTGGTTATTGTCACACCACATGCTGCATTTATCTACACAGCTATTAGCTCATCAAGGTGCAGGATGAGATGATAGGAACAATTTTCCCCTTCCACCAGCTGGTAGTCACGCTGCATCCTGGTCGAGACATTAATGAAATGTTCCTTATATGAAAGGTTGCCACTTTCTCTAAAGGGCACCTTCAGAAAGGAGCCCAGCTTCTCACTGTGATCAGTCCAATCATCACATTGAACTCCTTGCTGAACTTTCTGAATTATTGATTGTCAGCCACTGCTGTCAAGAAAGTGGCAAATCCTTTTGTTGCCCATCTGTTTGATGGACATAAGCCTGGGTGCTCCAGCAGGGAATGTCTCCGACTTCTCACAGCAGTCACTCAATAACATCACACTAGACCTAGACTGGAAGGTCGGAATCCAATTCGAAAGGAAATCCCTCAGCACCACTTTATAAGCGTGCGTTTTTCAAATGGTGCTCCTAGATTTAAAGCAAACAGCACATGCAGGTCGCGATCTGACGCAAAAGTGAAACAGGAAAGGAGGCCTTACCAAGGCTAACAAAGAGAGAAAGAAGGGGCACCTAAATTGGCCGAAGAAAGAAGCCAAGCTAAGGATTGGGCTAGTTTAGATTTCAGCAAAGAATGATAAAGAGACTGATTAAAAGGGGATTAAATAGAATATGAGGGTAAGCTTGTGGGGTTTGGGGGAGACGCGAGGTAAAGTTTGGATGGTTTGGGGAGAATTGGGAGTAAGAAGAAAGTTGGGGTTTGCGATTGTTGGCAACAGGACAGTTGCTAAAGTGTTGCCAAACCCAACTGGATCCAGGCTGAAACAAAAACAGAAATTGATGCAGTCTAGCAGCATGTGTGGAAAGGAAGCAGTTTTGTGTTTTTCCAGCAATTTCTGATTTTGTTTCAGATCTTCAGCACCTGCAGTTCTTTGCTTTCTGGAGCCAGACTGAATCTGGCTGTAATGGTGGCCTGTGTTGTCTTCCTTTTTAACCAAGTGGTGCCCGCCTCCCAAAATAATACTTTCCCATGAACAGATGGCTGAGAGTTGCAGGCATGAGCACGTATGCTCCTGCTCCATTGCTACATAGAGAACAAAGAGGAAGGAGCAGCAATCTTAAAGCAGTGTTCTAATCTTTTCCTGTGCCTTTACATTGCAGATGTTGAGTCACAACCCAAGGACAGCTACCATGGCATTTACTTTGCAATGCTTTTGGCTGGAGTTGGATTCTTACTGCCTTACAACAGCTTCATCACTGATGTGGACTACCTACACCAAAAATATCCAGGTGCAGTTCCTGTGCAAGGAACGATACACTACTGTGTGGGACATTACAGTGCAGCTTAGACAGCTCTGGCTTCCCTAACTAAAAGTTATCTAGACCAGGAAGGTACCTGGTTTGATCCGGCCTCGTAGTTGAGCTCAAACAAGATATGTCAAATGGCCAAATCTGCTCAGCTCTCTCTGTCAAGTCGCCACAAAGACTTCAGCTGATGGCTGGGTGGAGTTTGCAGCTGATGGCATCTCTCACAAGATGCTGCTGATGTGAAATATAATTTGCGCGGTAAAATGGAGCTGGAACCGCTTCAGTGCATCTTAAAAGCATTATTGCCTCTTGTCTCTGAAGATGGGTTGAAGTAATGTTTCCAGCCCTATCAGCCTGTTTGTAAACAATATATCTCAAAAATTAATAGATGAATTTCAACAAAACCTTGCTACACAGGTAAGGTATGGCCCAAGGATTAATTTTTAGTGAAGATACAGATCTGATCCTGGAATTTTTTAAGAGATAAGTTAACGTTAGGAGCTAGGGTGAATTTTTTTTTTGTAGAATGTTGTAGGTCGCTTTGTTCAGATGTTCTCTTGTCTTTTTGGAATGCTGTGAATTGTCCCAGATGCTTTTGTGAGATTTATTACGGATGTCCAAATGAGAGTAGAGTTTTCAGAGCAGGTTTTTGGAGGCAAATTAGCCTGAATCCTCCTCAGTGGCTGTTAATAATCTATTCTTAAACTTTGTCCCAATGTGCATCAGTTATGCAGGGAAATGATTCTAGGAAGCATTGTGTCATTGAAATAAAAGTGAGTTTTCAGTGTGGTGGAGATATGCTGTCTAATGAGTGTGCTCCTAACTTGGATTAGTTTCAATGAGAGATGCTCGGCACTGTGTCAGTAAGGCAGGGTTCTGCTGTTCGTGATGCTCCTTAACATTACCACAAAGAAGTGATATCAGTGAATCATGTACCTCAGGCTTGGTTTTCCACACTTACATTCCAATTTCCTGATGTTTTTCTCATATATATGTTTCTGCTAATGCCTTTGTGTTCACAGTATTGGTCAAATAATCAGATTAGCATTGAATTTGTGCTATCAATCTTTTTAATGCAACTCTATTTTTACACCTAGCATCGTTTTCTCTTTTCTCTGTCCATCTTCTGCACCTTTCTCTCTCCTATTTTTCTGGCCTGAACATTTTATTTCTCTCACTGACTATTTTCTCAATTCTTCGCCCCCTCTCCTCTCTCTCTCTTTTTTACTTGCCTTTCTGCATTTTTTCCAGCAGTTTATCCATTCCATTTTTCTTTCCTCCATCGTCTCTTTTCATTCCCCTCCGCTCCTTGAAGCAGAACTTTCAGAAATAATAACCTCTGAAGAAAGATCAAGGATTGAATTGATCTCAGTTGTTTTTGGATCTATTTCTGTTGCAGCAAGACATTCTGTGGCAGCCTTGTAATAGCTTTCTGCCTTTTCATTCTGGTGCAGGAACATCCATTGTGTTTGACATGAGTCTCACATACATCCTTGTTGCATTGGCAGCTGTGATTTTGAACAACGCATTGGTGGAGCTACTCAGTCTTCACACCCGCATCACTGTGGGTAAGTACAGAAGCATTGTTGAGCTTCAAGGTTACACACTTGCACCATTGTGCATGCTGTATGCTCATTCTTCAGACACAACCAGTGTCTCACAATAGAACTTAGACATCACTGAGTTGCTTCAAATGGTAAACTAGGGCAATTAAAAATTACCGTGAATGGTAAGGGGCTCTTTTGGTGCAGTGGTAGAGTCCCTACCTCTGGACCAGGAGGCCCAAGTCTCAGCTGTTTCAGAGGTTGTCATAACATGTCTGAACAGGTCGATTAGAAAGGATCTAACCATGAATGGCCGGCCAATGCATTTCATTGAACCAAACTCTGTGACTGACAGCATTGAGAAGGTTAGAGAGTGTGAAAGCTGGGGCAGAGGGTGTCCCAGTGGTTAGCACTACTGCCTCACAGCACCAGGGACCCCGGTTCGATTCTACCCGCGGGTGACTCTCTGTGTGAAGTTTGCACGTTCTCTGTGTCTGCATGGGTTTCTTCCACCCGCTCAAGTTTCTTCCCATGGTCCAAAGATGTTCAGGTTAGGCAGATTGGCTATGCTAAATTGCCCTGTGACGTACTGATTAGGTGGATTAGCCATGGTAAATGTGGGATTGCATAGATAAGAGAGGTGTTGTGTCTGGGTCGGATGCTTTTTGGAGAGTGATTGCAGACTCGATGGGCTGAGTGGCCTCTTCTGCACTGTATGGATTCTATGATTACTCCTTTCCCGTGGCCTGATTGAAATTGGTGTGCTGTTACCTTGGACTCTGAGCGGGAAGTTAAAAAACATACAGGGCTGGTTTTCTTGGTCTGCAGTTTTTGGTGGTGTTGGGGTGGGGGTGTGTAAAATGTCAGGTGGCTACTCAACTATTGTCCTACTCCCCTACAGTGTCTCCCTCCCTTTGCCCCCTCTGATCCTTCTTGAACATCATTGGAACTAGTATGGTCTCCATGACATATTGGGCAGGATTTAATGACCCTGTGCCAGGAGCAGCCTGGTGAGCAGGAAGCTACATAACTGAGTGGAGAGCTGTGGAAGGTCCTATTGCCTTTCTGACGCCCCCTGACCAACTCCCCAAGCCCCCCACAACCCCAAGATCTTTGGCCAAAGGGTCAAAGGGCATTGGGGGGGGCGGGAATTGAGTTGGATGGCTAGCCATGGTCGTATTGAATGGTGGAGCAGGCTCAAAGGGCTGAGTGGCCTACTCCTGCATCTATGTTCTACCTTTCCATGACCACCTGCTAACATCAGCTCAACTGTGCTCCTCCTTGGGTTCAGGTCTGACAAGGTGGGGTAATACTCACTCACCTTCCCCCAGCCCTCACCCCCATCATCATGGCTCTTACCTAAGGGCTTCCAAGTCCTGATTCTCACCCCCAGTCCTCAATCTGAAGCCAGTGAGCAGGATGCACCAACTCTGGTGTGGCACCTGACAGGGTATTGTCATGAGTTGAGCCTAGTCTGACCCCTGCTAACCCACTATCAGGAGCAGAGATATACAGTAGACAATCTGTGGTTATGCTGGAGTTGTCTGCACCCAGGAATCTAAGGTGCCATTAGTCCACTAACCATTTGAAATGAATCTTTAGTCTATTTTATGCTACGTCCGTAATCCCCATACTGTCACTTTTCTCTTAAAGTGAAGTTAAATGATGATTGTGCTGCTGATTAAAGGGACCAGGAGCAAAATGTAAGAATGTACTGTTCAGATGAAGCTTTTTTACTGAACAGTTGACTGAGGAGCAACAAGAGCTAGCCTGTCCCTTTTAAAATGTTAGAAGGTGCTTTACAAGAAAATTGAGGCAAAATTTTACCCAGCGAGCGTAAGGGTACATTATGACACTTCTGTCAAACGGAAAGGTTATGAAGGATTGTCTGAAAGGAGTAGGAGGGAGGTGGACAGACCATGTTGGGATTTATTGACAAGGCTTGAGAACTTTAAAACCGAGGAGCCAATGGAACAACTTAAATATTGCCACAGCAATATATTTGAAGACCTTGAATTATGTTTTGATGTTTCTATTTTGGGTGTTTTCAGAGTATTGGGCAGCTGGATTAATTGTGCCATTCTGTAATTATGGCAGGAGGGTGTGTCACTAACTGCACCAAACTGTTACTCGTTTAATTTGAGAAGATACTAGCCTGGCAGGTGCACTCAAATCGCACGAGGATAGCAGCAACTTAATGGTCATAATCCTGATCCACAGCATCTTGTAGATAGTACACACTGCTGCTACTGAGCATTGATGGTGGAAGGAGTGGATATTTGTGGATGTGGTACCAATCACTTGGATGGTGTTAAGGTTCTTGAGTATTGTTTGAGTTGTAGGAATTGTCACAAATAAAAAGAAGGGAGGAGAACATGACCAATTGGGCTATACGAGATAGTAGGAACTGCTGATGCTGGAGA